TAGCCCAGCTCTGATCGCCTGTCATTATCAGACTATCCTAGCCCAGCTCTGATCGCCTGTCATTATCAGACTATCCTAGCCCAGCTCTGATCGCCTGTCATTATCAGACTATCCTAGCCCAGCCCTGATCGCCTGTCATTATCAGACTATCCTAGCCCAGCTCTGATCGCCTGTCATTATCAGACTATCCTAGCCCAGCTCTGATCGCCTGTCATTATCAGACTATCCTAGCCCAGCTCTGATCCCCTGTCATTATCAGACTATCCTAACCCAGCTCTGATCGCCTGTCATTATCAGACTATCCTAGCCCAGCTCTGATCGCCTGTGATTATCAGACTATCCTAGCCCAGCTCTGATCGCCTGTCATTATCAGACTATCCTAGCCCAGCCCTGATCGCCTGTGATTATCAGACTATCCTAGCCCAGCTCTGATCACCTGTGACAATCAGACTATCCTAGCCGAGCTCTGATCGCCTGTCATTGTCAGACTATCCTAGCCCAGCCCTGATCGCCTGTCGTTGTCAGACTATCCTAGCCCAGCCCTGATCGCCCGTGATTATCAGACTATCCTAGCCCAGCCCTGATCGCCTGTGATTGTCAGACTATCCTAGCCCAGCTCTGATCGCCTGTGATTATCAGACTATTGTACCTGAGAGGTGATGTTCTCATTGTTGCGAATGAAGTTCTCGAAGGTAACTGTTGGATCCCACGGGTCATTCTGAATGTACATGCTGCTGCTGGTCTCCTCCCTGTCTCGGAAGCGAGTCACTGCCAACTGGTACCTGGCAACAGAAACAGAGCCCCCAGTTTGTGGATAGCTCAGAACATTTCCAACCAGCTCAGAAAGCAGGATTGGGTTTAAGATGATCGTGTTCAGAGAGACTTGTGTTTACGTCTATTGGTTTAAAGGGGCAGTATTGAGAAGCTACAGCAAGCAGTCAGGAGTCACTGAAAGTTGCCACCCAGGTTGATAGCGTTGTTAAGAAGGCGTACAGTATGTTAGGTTTTATTGGTAGAGGGATTGAGTTTCGGAGCCATGAGGTCATGTTGCAGCTGTACAAAACTCTGGTGCGGCCTCACTTGGAGTATTGCGTACAGTTCTGGTCACCGCATTATAGGAAGGATGTGGAAGCATTGGAAAGGGTGCAGAGGAGATTTACCAGGATGTTGCCTGGTATGGAGGGAAGGTCTTATGAGGAAAGGCTGAGGGTCTTGAGGCTGTTTTCGTTCGAGAGAAGAAGGTTAAGAGGTGACTTAATAGAGACATACAAGATGATCAGAGGATTAGATAGGGTGGACAGTGG